CACGCAGGGCAACTTCTCATCTCCAACATGGCCAAGGAGCCGGCAAGAAGTAGTGATTTGCATGATCGTGTTTGTTGTTATGGGGAAGGGCGAGGAGGCGACGAGCGTCGATGCAATGCTCCCCGAGTGCACCAGAGCGAAACTTATACCACTGCGGCAAGGGCACCCTCGGCAACTATTGCAATAATGACGACAATACTACTACGTACTGACAACTAGCTTCAATCACACCTCTGCGCGTTTGCTAGCTGCTAAGCAACCAATCCAACGCTAATTGCAACATGCACAGCATGCGGCAAGTCCGCCAAAATTGCAGCTTCTGCTTGCTGAAGCAAACACAACACTTAGACTTAAGTTTGGAAAGGGGGCCAGTGTGTCCTGCCTGCCTTAACAGACGGCGAACACCACAGGCACCACCCCACAGGCCCACAGAGAAGGGGGGAGACAAAGAAGCCAAGAGAACACGAAGTCAAGCAAGTCACAGGCACTGGGGTTGGGATACCATGGGGTGGGGCGGAGGGGAGGGCCTCAGGCCCTGCATCATATACAAAAAATATATATCTGTATGTATGTATGATTATGTAACTATGTATGTATCTACTTCTATATATATATATGTAATTATACCTATGTACACATAAAGAGACAGAGAGAGAGAGAGAGAGATATATATATATATATGTATATATATGTCGGCCTCTATATATGCATGTCCTGTAGTAGTTGACCATAGAAGCGATGTCCACGAGGCACACCAATCTCGAAACTGCACTCTAGCGACGGGGTCTGAGTGCAGGGCCTTTTCAGCTTGATGTTGCCGCCTCCCTTGAGCACCACATCCTGCAGTGTAGTGCTTGGAGTTTAGGTATCCTGCAACGATCTGGATGCATGCTGCAGGCTTCAGAACGTCCTTCCTAAAACTCATGCGGAAAGAAACGGGAAATATTAACAGCACATCGGCGGCAGGAGCACGTCGCGCCACGAAACCCGGCTGAATTCACACTGGCTACTCATCTGATCAGCTGCTATGCAACCCTGGACCCTAAACCCAAAGCTCCTAAACCCTAAACCCCAGGCCCCTCATCGCTAAGCCCCTTAACCCTATGCATCATTACAATAGGATTTGTACGATTTACTATCGAACTCTCAGGAACCCTAAGGAATCATTTGAGTAGTTGTTCAGGCTTCTATGATAACCCCACATGCCTGATCCCGACATGTTGAGACCTCCAGAGGCTCGCCCTTCAACTCGAAGGTCAAGCAGCGACTTAGTTTGCATGGGGCTTCAGGGTCCTTTAGCTTGTGATGGGCTGCGGGTTAAGGGTTCAGGATTCGGGTCTGATGCGTAGGGACACTGAGGGTGAATTCCTGCCGGAGTGGCTGAACCTGTCAAAGCTGCTCCACAGGCTTCCATGAGCTGGGATTGTCCGAAACGTGGTTGCCAACCGACCACAGTTGATGTCTTCCAAAAGCCAAGAGGCTGGATCACCCACACAGCGATCACGCAGAGCAGCGAGCAGAGAAGCCAGAAAGGGATGTGTGACCTGCGGGCCACAGGACTTGTCAGAACCAGAACAGGTGACTAGCAGGAACAAGAATAACAAGGAAAACGGCACCTATGCCGCCGCGAAGGGAGTGTCGCTCTTTTTTTACGATTTGCTGTAAGCCCCGCGTTTTCATGCTGCTTGCAGAACGGATGATGTTTTGCAGAATGTCTTTTTCATGTGTTTGTTCATTGTTGTTGGTATCTGTTCCAGGAAGTGTCGCAAATCCCGTCAATGTCGTCGTTCGTGCTATTTCGCTTGTAGGTATGTTGTTGAAATTTTGTTCTGAGAGCCCACGGGGCGCAAGACTCTTGTTTTTGGTCCGTCCAGGATAACCGAAAATTTTGTGTGATGTGGAGCAAGTTTGCGTTTGATTTTTGGTCTGCTGGAAGCAACAGCAACATGGACCAACAGTGTTCTTTATCATCATCGCTATCGTCCTCGCAATCGTTATCGCCACCATCATCATCATCATCGTCATCATCATGAGCACAATGATCTTTCGAATCATGAACACCGTCGTCATCACCGTCATGTCATCGTCGTCATCATCACTGCGTTGCCATGGACGTCATCACCCGCCCCCATCCCCACATCCGCCCCGCTCTGCAGGGAAGCAAAAAGAAAAACACGACGTGACGACGTGCGTTATCATAAGCCGCATTACCATGGACGCCATCACCACCCCCCCATCCCCGCCCTCTGCACTGAGAGAGACATTAGACATAAGCCGCATTGCCATGGACACCCATCCCTCCCTCTGCACGGTAGCACAAAGAAAAACAAGAGATACGTAAGCCGTGCTGAAACGGATGTCATCAACCCCCCATCGCATTCCCGCCACCCTCCGAAGACACGTGGATTGGCAAGCAAAGCAACGGGGATGGAGAAGCACTGTAAAGCCCGACTGACCGGGCTTGCAGATACGCAAAAACCTCGGGTCATCAGCGAAAAGCTAGGAACACCCTGTAAACACCGAAGTGAAAGGCAACTCGCAATTTTTGTTGGTCCAAACTGCCATGTGCCGAAATTCGAGCTTTGGCAAATCGCAGCCTTGAAATCGTTGCACCCTTCACAGCGGCGCATGCGCCAATTGCCAAAACCAACAAGTGTGCTTGCAAAGCAATATTATCCGAAATATTGGAAGCAAGGCTGCAGGTAGAAGAAGAAGAAGAAGTGGTGGTGGTGGTGGTGGAAGAAGATGTAGTAGTGGTGGTAGCAGTAGCAGTACGAGTAGACTTATAGCAGCAGCAGTAGCAGGAGCAGCACCACAGGAACGTGATGACGTTTGCACAGTCGTCAAGACAAACATGATGAAGCTAGTCAGGGCTGAGGCATCGACTCGCCACCAGAGGTCAAGAGCTCGAACGCAAGAGGTGCCAAGACCTCAAGAACACAGTCGGCTTTAGCGTCGTAGGGTTTTCTTCAGGGCGTAAGGTTTTATTAGGTTGGGGTCGAGGACTGTACGGAATTCATACTACACATCGCTGGTGCGTGACAAACAGAATTGACCAGAATGGGTCCGAAATAGGGTTTGTTGGCTTTGGGTTCAGAAAATTTCCCATCGGAGAAGGCGCAAACCCCAAACGAGTACTGACCAAACAGAGCTGAAATGAAAATGAGACAACCTGCTGAAACGCTCATGACAGACTGCACGTCGCTGTCCGCGAGGGATCATCATCATCGTCCCACTCCCTCCAGCGCTCTCAAGCCTCAATCCTCTAAAATCCTCGAACCACTTAGCAATCTGAAGCCGCAGTTCCCGGATCCTCCAATCTCGGATACCTAACTATCAAGCACTGCGAAGCCCACAGCATCTTGAGCACGCCACCAGGATGTCACACTCTCTAATATGGGAGCATTATAACCATTAGAATAGGGTTTTGGGGGTATATTATACTATGATTATAGCAAGGAACCCCCACAATAGTCCCTATATACTACGGCCTCTACAGGGTTTTGGGCATCTCAAAAAAATGGACTGTCCTCAGGCAGGCGCCGATCCGATGCGACCTTGCTCGCATTCCGCCAAGGACAGGCACGCTGGGGGTTACGGTGCAATTGTAGGCTACCCACGGGCTTAGATTTAGCGCTTAGGGTTTAGGGGCAGGGTTAAGAGCTCTTTTTTGCCCTAAATACCCACTATTAAGACCATAAGGGCTCTAGTAAAGGGTACTTGGGGGGTGCTGGTAGAAGCAGCTTCAGGGCTCAGGGTTCATGGGGTCAGGGCTTCTCTGCTCCGGGGTGTGGGGCCTAAGCGGTCAGGGGTTAGGGTTGTACCTACAGTCTCCATTGTAGTTCCTTTTTTGGTTTCACCAAGTATATAAGGATTCTATAAGGTATCCCCCAAAAGAAACAACCCTAAACCCTAAACCCTAAACCCTAAACCCCTAAAACAATGGAGACTACAGGGTAGGGTTTCTCGTTTTGTGCAACTTCCTGGACCGGTTCTGCAGCTTCAGACCTGGGGCCAGGCAAAACTTTCGCGGGACGTCCGACAACCCGGAAAGTGGGCCGTTTTTTAGGGTTTAGGGTTTAGGGTTTAGGGTGTAGGGTTTAGGGTTTAGGGTTTAGGGTTTAGGGTTTAGGGTTTAGGGTTTAGGGTTTAGGGTTTTTATGACCGATAGAATTTTGGGGGGGCTCCTTATGAGAGTTCTAGAAAAATGGGCCCCAAAGCCCTATTCTATTAAGTAAGGCCCCTATGTTAGACCCCATATCGAAGAGAAGCTGGGAGCTGGATCTAGCACACACTTCCAGCTCGACATCCGACAAAAAAAAATAAATAACATCGCTAGCCTCCAGCCATACACGTCGATGCAGCAGTGCAGCGATAGGCCTCAGGACCAAAGGCAGAAGGGCGCTCAAATACAAATGCGCCGCCATTCTCGCATGTACAGTAGGATGTACCCATAGGCCCCATAGTAGTTCCTTTTTGCGGCTTATATTTAGGATCCTATTAGGCAATCCCGAAAAGGAACTACTATGGGGCCTATGGGTAAAGCGGCCTCCTCAAGCCCCAAACCCTCCAGTCCACAGAACTTGTGTCGTGGGTGCCTTGAAAAACACCGAAAGAAGCGAATGCCACGAAATGCGAGGTGTCCTGTTCTACTTGGAGGTTCATGGGTAGTTATAAGTAGGGTTATAAGTAGGATAATAATAGCTATAAGTTATAACCTATATTAGGGGACTTATAACTCAACTTATAACTACCCATGAATCTCCAAGCAGTATCCTCTGATGTAATTGAGGTGGGAGATAACAGCGACGCGGCTTGAAGCTAGAACGCAACGCATCATGTCCTGTCAAATCCAGATACCGGCTTGAATGCAGAAGTAGGCCCGTTGCAGATGGAAAAATCTCCGTGACGTAGACCTCGAAATGCGGTCTGGTCAGCAAGCATCACTGCAGCCCATGGCACTTGGTAGGACACTGTCTACAATCGACAAAACGACGAACTCAGTCTCTGGCATATGCGATCGTGAAGAACGCAGTGACAGCACACCTGCAATGCATGTTCCAGACACTGTTCATCAAGCAGAACCAAGTTTAAGTTTGTTTCAGGGCTTCAAGTTACGGATTGATACAGGATGCAGTTGCCACAGATCTTGATTCTAGAAGGAACGCAGGATTTGACTATGATGTAGGACGGCGGTGGGGCTGACACAACGACCCACAAAAGTCCCTAGCGTTTTCATACCCATCGTCACAGGAACCAATCACGAGCTGAGACAAAGCGTCCAGAGAATGGTGCCTCCTTGAGGTCACAAATATACCTGAACTACCTGAAACACAAATGTTGCCCCACGTCCCCGAAGACTTCGTTCCAAAAACCTCCGAACACCTGGGCCGCAACCCCAAAACTTTGGTTGCAACCGGCGCACTTGGCCAAGTAGGACGCGTAGATCGCAGCAGAGACGATCCCAACATCACCAAGCTCAAGGATGATGAGTGTGGGCAGGAGCCTGAGGCAAAGGCCGAGTTTGTATGAAAACGGGCCCTGCGCCCCTTAAATTTGGGATTCCTTTAAAGGGTTCCTTAAAGGGTTCTATAATACAAGGGCTACTATAAGGACTATACGGGTTTAGGGTTTAGGGGCCTTAGTAGATCAACTCCGAACTTTCAAAAACTGGTTTCGACCCCGCTGACTCCGCACTGATGCAGGATTGCCACGCCATGTTGCCAAAGCTTCAGCAGCCGAGCAACCCCGCCAGGAAGTCTGCTAAACCCTGAACCCTAAACCCTGGACCCTCAACCCTAAACCCTCAACCCTAAGCCCTGAACCCTAAACCCTCAACCCTGAACCCTAAACCCGAAACCCTAACCCTCAAACGAGGCCCCGGCATTGCAAGCACGATGGCCAGGGCGGAGAGGCTGTCCCTATGGCCATATGCCTGGAGAGTCAAAGATGTCCATCCTACGAATATCCGCAACGACATGATGACACTGATGATAGCTTTTGAAAAAAATACAAACATCCCCAAGGAAATGATGAGACTGATGATAGACATTAGGAGCAGAATCAGGATCATGAGTGCTTGTGATGGTCTTTCTATGCGTTTGTGATCATAGTTGTAGGGGTGGAGCAGAAGAATAAGATGCTGATGATCATGATGATTCTGGTGGCGATGGTGCCGATGACGAAGATGACAACGAGTCTTTCTAAGATGTGTCTCATCCTTGCTGATGCTGAGCGAACAACCAGTACTACCGCCAGTCCTCCTGGTCCCGTTACGTGCAATGAAGTGAAAGCCGCGGCTCAACCGGACCACAAGAGTGCAGGTACAGAGTCGCATAGTTTCGGCCCGTTTCGGCATTACCTGGCGGCCCGTCCTTGGAGCGAATGAGAACACTCGAGAGGAGGCACGCTGGAATGTCCGCGCTGGTGACCACCTGGGACAAGGGAGACAAGGCTTTGACTATGCCGGGTTTAGGGTTTCGGGATGTTCATGTTCGTCTCCTGGGGCCCTATGCGCAAGAAGCCGAGGTTGGGGCCAGAACTTGCGTGGCCGGATGGAACGGCGACTGCATGACCCTGGCGGCAAGCGACAGAATAGAGTTGAGCAATTTCAGACTCAAACCAGCAATCTCGGGCAGAAGCAATGCGCAAAACAGCTCGCCACCATGGTGCGCGCTTCATCGGCTCGCTGCACAGCCTTTCTTGTGAAGTTGAAGACCCTGGAACCGCAACCCACAACTTTGAATCCTGCGCCCTACCTATAGTCTCTATTGTAGTTCCTTTTGGGGGTTACCTTATAGGATCCTTAATATAGAGTTGGTCAAACCAAGAAAAGGAACTACAATAGGTAGTTCATTCCAGAGCCAGCTCGAGAACACATGGCCCTGGAGACCGTGAAGTGAGCCGGATGTGCCTGAAAACTTGAGGCATCGCATAGGTGAGGCCGAAGAAGAGGAAGTTGGCTGGAAGCAGTTGGGGCGTGCTTGGGCTTCAAGGTTCTTTTGAAAAGCGGCATTGACAGAATTGTCACAGAGGTACAGTGAGAGAGAGAGAGAGTGTGAGGGAGAGAGAGAGAGAGAGAGAGTGAGAAAGGGAGAGGGAGAGCGAGAGAGAGCGGAGAGACGGGGAAAAAGAGATGGAAATAGAACAACTAAAAGAAGACAAAAAGGTTAGATAAATTTAGCAACAGAACAGCGAGTCGAGACAGAGCGAGCGATGGAAAAAGCAAGACAGAAACTCAGAGACAGTGAACGTAACAACAACATTCTCCACAAAACAGACCTCCACAAAACCAAGCAATGGCATAGACAATAGACATAAGGAGCGGCTCCAGGGAAGTCGACAGCCTCGGGGTTTGCAGTTTCGGATGCACAGCAGGATTCAGCCTTTGCGCAGTGCGGATCTCCACTTCTTTTCATCTTACAGCCGTCCCACCTACGAAGCAGATGTAGCAGCCACCCACAATGATGGTCCCAAACCTCGGTGGGCAAGAGAACGTGGGTGCTGCTCTGCCACGCCCATTCTCCACACAGCCTATCGTCTCATATTGGTTCATACAGTCAAAATATTATAACTGATGCAATCGCGCTGGGAAAGCCCTGTTGCAGAAACGCAAGAAAGAAAGCCTCCGGCTCTGATCGTATGAGAACATCAATCCACCCCTGGCGAAAGGCGCGACGGCACCCGCACACCACTTTGAAGGACCGTGCACAGCTGAGAGGTATTGACTGGACTGCATGAAAAGTTAAACCTCCTCGAAGCTATGTAAAGCACCTCCCAAAACCCATTATGTTGTCCCAAACCGAGAAGAAGGCGTACACTCTTTTCTGTCTGGACGTTAAGTTTGTGAGTGTGATTGCGACTATTGCTGACTGTGATGGTGATTATGAGCAGGCATACTGTAGTATCTTCAGCTACGTAGGTGCTGGGCGAGCAGCTGATCCATTCATCGGGCAGCCTCTCAGCCGCCTGGTTCCCGTAACCCTCAAGGCCCTTTAGGCCCTAAGCTCTAAAGCCTCAACCCTAAACGCCGCCCCAGAACGGGCCTGGCAAGCTTCATCTCCGGCCCCGGCCTGCGCCACGCTGGGCGGATGAGAGTAACATCGCTTGAACATCTGGGCGTCTTGATGCTATTAAGACTGGTCAGCTTGCATAAGTCTTACGTGCAGCACTCTGCCATAACTTGTTCGATGCCTGCTGCGGCAACAATCTCGAACGGGATGTGGGGCGAAATACCTGAGGTCAGGATGCCGTCGGCGACTTGGCAGTGACTGATCATGGGATAGCTCGGATAGGTCGGTGCGAGAAACGCTCCACAAAGGCAGTCTCTGCCTCCGCACCAGCCAGGCCCATCCTCGCGGAAGCCTGACACTGCTTCGGCTGCAGCTTCCAACTTGCCATGCCTCTGGTAAACTGCCCTGCACTGCACTGAGTCGCTCCGGGAAAAAGAATGCCCAAGCTTAAACCCACAGGCATTGCGGCCTCCACCTGGGCAACAGCCTGCGACACAATGGGTGCCAGGGTGCAAGGGGACGGCGGCTTGGATTTGCAGGCAACAGCTCCAATATGTCGGAGTGCCACTCGGACATGCTTTGTGTTCAAACCCTCAGCCCAAGCTCATTTGACATGCAGTAGCAGTGCCTGGGACTGTCCGTTCTGCGCAGCCATACTGCGAACCACGGCCAAAGCCTGTAGCAACAGAACAGGATAATTCAGTCTCTGCCGCACTGAGCACCGCAATGCACTGCCACCAGATCAACACCAAACTCCTGTCCACCCCATGCGCCTGAACTTAGAACCCTCGACGTTCCACTGCGATCTCCGCTCGCTGTTTTCATTGCGATAAGCGATCTTCGCAGCACTGACTCTGTCTGATACTGATTGATCTGCATTGTCGGGTTCCAAATCAAGCGGCAAGCGCTCCGACCCGAATAACGAGCTTAGCGTCGCAGAGCTGCTGCAAGGTCTGTCAGCCGGCCAGAAGTTGATTGAAATCCCACTTCGCCTGCTATGGGATTTGAGAAACACTTCACTACGAACCGGCTGAAGCAGACCTGGCTTCGCTCTCACGTCTCGGGACCGAGTGCGACCGATGGAGTGGCAAGGAAGAAAAGGCACCCCCAATCCGGGGGGCGGCTGCCATACTTCTGCCTGTGTATGTGAACGGACTACAGACATTCACTTAGATTACGTTTGTCGTACTTGCGATCCCGCCATGTAAACAGTCCGGCAAAGGCTAGAAAAAGAAAGCCGCCAGAAGGGGCAACAGGCTTCCAAAGGCTGCTGCAATGCTCCAATTAGGCACCGGTCTTGAGTTTTGTTTAAAGTGCAGTGGCCTAAACCCTAAACCCTAAGTTTTGAGTTTAGAGCTTGGGTTTTGGATCTAGGGTTCAGGTTATAGGGTTTGGGTTTTGGATCAAGGGTTCAGGGTTAGAGTTTATGTATGCCCAACAAACACACTGGTGCAGCACGGACTTGCTTGATGCATTCAGTGATGCATACAGGCACAACTTCTGTCTATTCCGAGTCCCACAAAGCCGATTTATCGATTTCTAGCAATAGCTTCATAGCGTGGGATATGCCAATAGGTGTTGTCCTATGCCAAAACAGTCAGTGCAACAGAAGGCACAAATAAACTGTCCTAAACAGACTCACTTTCGGTTGGTATCATGAAATGATGCTGTTGTCGCGCGGGCTCTTCTCTGTTTGTCCTGCGATGCAACGTCGTGCGGCACTAGCAGCAGTTAGTAGAAAGTGCGTATGCAGATGCAAGTCTCAGAGCTAATGCCAGTGCGAATATTACTGTTGGTGTCGTTGTTGGTGGTAGTGCTTGTGTTAGAAGTAGTTTTGCAGTAGTGGTAGGAGGAGTAGTGGTAGTATAGTACTATATAGCAGCAGTGGTAGTAGCATAGTAGTACTAGTACTAGTACTAGTAGAGTAGAGTAGTAGTAGTAATAGTAGTAATAGTCGGTCCGTAGGTCGCAGTAGGGTGCTAGTAGGTAGGTAGGTAGGTCGGTAGTTAGGCAGGAGTAGGTAGGTAGGTGGGTAGGTAGGTAGGTAGGTAGGTAGGTAGGTAGGTAGGTAGAACGGACGAGTCTAGAGTCTAGATAACGACCAGGCCAATGGCACATTCTCGGAGTACAAAACGAGGCAAAGAATTTTGCAGCTGGGGCATGCCGGAAAATTGAAAGCCACAAACCAACATCGGATGCTGGGGGAGCTGCGTATGCTGTACAGGGATTGATTGCAGAAGAACTAGGGCAAGAACTACAGATCTGATTTTGGTCAATCTTTTGATATCAATCTAAAGCCTTGTACAAAGGCTTCGAAGACTCATCTTGGCAATGCCCCGCTTGCTCGAATCTTAGAAGAATCGTCGTCCATGTCGGGCAAGCCACACGACTGAAAGAAGCCCAGCTGCTGCAACGGGTCTTGCAGAGCAGCACATAAAGAGTTCGGGGAGGCCACATGGCCAGAGATTGAAGCTCGGCTGCAACGATGACCATCGATGGCTAGCGCACGTCGACTGTGGTTCCTGGATAGCATATGCTAGGTGCAGTCTTGGTCATACGGAAGCAGCAAACTCGACCCGATGCAAACATCAAAGGTAACGGTTATCCCTGACGACTTGCAGTCGTTCGATTGCCTGCTGGCACACGGCACATCCGTGAAGGCAGAACTTGCAAAAGCGTAGCCCAGACAAACACAAGAGCCGCGATAACGATGGCAAGTTCGGAGTGTACTGCCTGCAAACCTAACAGATAGGCGAAGATCCTGCTGACGCTCTTGGTCTTGAGCCGCTTGCCTGCCCTGTCACAGGACGCTTGACTGTCCTGGTCCTGCCAGTCTCGAAGCTATACACAGCTTGACTGAATTGCAAAGCGTAGCTGCTGGTGGGATCCCAAGTTTGAAAGAACAGGAAAGCATCCGACAGACATTCAAACAGGGAGCTGCAGATCCTGAGCACTGAACACATGGACGGGATTTCATTAACCACCATTCAGCCACAGAACAAGATGCTTGGCCAGTGCATGCGGAAAGGGTGAAGACGGAGAGTCGCTTCCGAACCCGATTTTCCAGCCATGAAGTAGACAACAGGAAAGTCTCTTGTGCAAAGGGTGCGAGAGATTTAGCTCTTTCCCTTCAGCGGAAAAATCGCACACGAGCCATCATCTTCTTTGCATGTGTAAAGAATTTGTAGATTGTAGTTGATGCTTGGCAGCTTCATACTGGAGTCCAGCTTGCAACGACGAAGCCCTTGCAGACTGTGTGTACTGTGTACTGTATACTTTCTCGTGAAGCCGAAAGGTACAAGGCTTAGCAGTTTAGCTGCTTGTAGAGACCACGTCTCGCGGCCTGATCCCAGTATGACAGCTCCTTCAATAAGTAATTACATGCCAGCATCCTTCACCAGTGGTGTCGTGGTCCATAGTTGGTCCATGCTCGACAAGCCCAAGTTGAAAAAGGCGGGCACGCCGAACACGTGAGCACACACAGCACGACAGCGTCCGTGACTTTGGCAACAGTACCGCCCTTCAAATGCGGCCTTCTGGCCTTTAAAAAGCATAACGGTAGAAATGCTACTGTTGATAGACAAAATCCTGCATTACCCATTATAAGGAATATACCATAATTCCCATAGTTTAAGGTCCTTAAGGTCATGCAGGATTTTGTCCATCAACAGTAGTAATCCTCGCTATTGTTGGCTGAAGTCTGGGGTTCACAGTAGGGTACGCTTTATCATGGCGGCAGTAGTCTTAACACAGCATTTATCAACTGCAGTCATCACATACCCCAACTGGCAAAAGTTGCTTCGGAAAGATACCTGTGCGCTGATATTATGGCCGTCGTCCTCCTACCGTTACCACTTTATGTTCAACTATTACGACACCCAAAATATGCACAGGATGCACGCACCTGCCAACCCACACACACACACACAAACAAACACAGAGCCAGACACGGAGAGACTGAAAGCCAGAACATCCCCTGGAAGGTTTCGAGCTGTTTCGCTACGGTTTAGAGTTTAGGGTTTAGGGTTTAGTATAAGGGTTCAGGGTTTAGGGAACAAGGTTGGCGGCAAAGTTCCAAAGTCCACCGGATTGAGCTTTCTCGCCCACACTTCAGCGCACGGCGCGCCTCTCCAGGGTGTGCTTTTCAGATGGCGTGCTTTTCAGATGTTTTGCGACGCTAAGGGAGCTTAGCATGCATGTTATGAGTTCGCTTTGGGATTCTTTCTGGGAGCTGGCCTTGAGCTGTAAGGGTTGCGGCTTTCTCTCGGGATTCGGATCCAGATCGCCATGACCCCCGTGGAACCCCTCCCGCCTCAAGAGCCCAGCTTCACGGACACTCCCAGGCACTTGATGACAACCGCCAAGTAGCCTCAGCTCACGAAGAGCGACTCGGATGTAAAATTTCAACAAGCTTCTGCGCGCAGCCATGCATGAAGGCCGAAGCGGCCGCCTGCAAGCCGCCATCGTAACATCACCACACAGCACGGGAGCCCAGGAACCAGGAGCATTCGAAATCCAACTAATGTCCGCTTTAGAGTTTAGGGTTTAGGGTTTAGAGTTTAGGGTTTAGGGTTTAGGGAGTCTCATAGTCAGGAATATAGAAAGCCTTCATCCTGAGTCTCCGAGTGAATGCAGCCTGGCTTCCGCAAGGGGCACGTGGCAGGCCGGAGATTCTTCCGCGAGCCTGAACCGAAAACCACTACTTGGAGGTTCATGGGTAGTTATATGTGGAGTTATAAGTCCCCTAATATAGGTTATAACTATAGTTATAACCCTACTTATAAGTACCCATGAACCTCCAAGTAGCCGAATCGCATGTGATGTAGGGGCCTTACTACTTAGAATAGGGTTTTGGGATCCTTCATAATCTAGTTTTAATACGAACCCTAGGAATAATATTGGTGATTATTTAGGCTTCTAAATTAAGCCTGCGTCCGAAACAAATTTAGCCCTCACCGCAAGTGTCTTCTCCGTCGTCAAGCTAATCGTCTAATCCCTCTACGCATCGCGGCTGTATTTCAGTAGTTGTTGAGTCGCAATAGCAGCAGGAGCAGTAGAAGCAGCAGGAGTAGCGGTCACAGTAGTAGTAGGGGTAGGGGTAGGGGCAGGAGGAGGAATAGGAGGAGCAGGAGCGGTGGTGGTAGTAGTAGTAGTAGTAGTAGTAGTAGTTGTTGTTGTTGTTGTTGTTGTAGTTGTTGTTGTTGTGGTGGTAGTAGTAGTAGTTGTTGTTGTGGTCGCCGTCGTGGTAGTAGTACACATGTAGTAGCACGAAGAAATAGACATAGTAGAACACGTCGTCGTGGTAGCAATAGCTATTGAAGCAATAATGGCCGCAGTGAGCAGGTGGATCACGAGCAGCAATATGCCTTGCCCTCACGGACCTAACGCTCCTGTAGTGATCCAGACACAACCCCCCCCCCCCCCCCCCCGCGACCGTAAACTACTGGTTGGGATTACAAATCCTCGCTGTGAATTTCCACATTTTCCATCAAACTCACAAACCTTGACTCCTGAGCATGGAAACTCTGCCACACCTTCAACCATCTGCGATGTCAGGCCTTGCTGAGGATCTCTGCAAAAGAAACGGTGGCCCAGGATGGGCGCGAGCCGTCCTTCCGGCACAGCTGGTTTCGCTGTTGCGCGTGACCTACTTTGTCTAGTACTTACCATCTGCAC